CCCAGTTATTTCATGGTTGCAATATCTTCTTTTACTCCAATGATAGTACTAGTAATACTTTTCCAACTTTTCTTCTCTCTGTATAGTTTCTATTTCCCCCAAATTGCCTTCCTACATTTGTTAGCTTTGGTCTGTATCTTCCACAATATTCAACATTGTTCACTATTCACTTCTTGAAACTCAGTTCTATGCTGACTTTGATAATTAGTAGCTTTCTTTTTCATTTCTCATTCTACTTTGCAATTTCTACGCTGGCTTCTGTTTTCATCACTTGTATATGCATGGCTGTATGCATTCAATAAACCCTTATTATTTTCCAGATACCATGCTAGGTGACAGAGACTCAAATTAATAAAACATGGTTCCTAACTCCGCTTCATCCTCTTACTTTTCTCAATGTATCAAATCTTTCTTTTTTTTTTTTTAATGTTTTTTATTTATTTCTGAGAGAGAGACACACACAGTGTGAGCAGGGGAGGGTCAGAGAGAGAGGGAGACACAGAATATGAAGCAGGCTCCAGGCTCTGAGCTGGCTGTCAGCACAGAGCCCGATGTGGGGCTCGAACCCACTAACCGTGAGATCATGACCTGAGCCGAAGTCGGACGCTTAACTGACTGAGCCACCCAGGCGCCCTATCAATGTTATCAAATCTTTCTTAATGGATAAGCAGCAACTGAAACCCTGACCAGGATGCTGTATGCCAGAGAATCTCGGGGTATAGAGTTACCAAATCAAATCACAGAGCATAGAGCAGTGGTAGATGTAGAAAGACAATCTACCAAAGGGGACAAGGCAAAGTCCAGGTAAAACCACATATAGGAGCTTAAGAAAAAAAAAAAGGGTTTTAAGGAAGTGAGGAGTACAGCAATGCCTGGATCCATTCTTGGGATTAAAAGCAGGCAGCTAACAGTTTTAGAAATCTTATTCCTGCTTTTTAATTTTGTTTTGGTGAGGAGTGGAGTTTGGGAAAGAGGACAAGGAAGATGTTCTACGTGTTTCAAGATTTAGCAGGGAACAGAAACGTGACTCCAAATATCTCAATGCTAATAACTCCAAAACTATGAGTTTTGTCCTCAGTTCCGGATCCATATATCCAACTGCCCTCAGAAATCTTTTCTTAAGGGGCGGCTGGGTGGCTTAGTCGGTTAAGCCTCCGACTTTCGCTTAGGTCATGATCTCGTGGTTCGTGGGTTCGAGCCTCGCGTCGGGTTCTGTGCTGACTGCCAGCTCAGAGCCTGGAGCTTATTTCAGAGTCTGTGTCTCCCTCTCTCTCTGACCCTCCCCTGATCACGCTGTCTCTCTCTCTCTCTCCTAGAAATAAATAAAAAAATATTAAAAAAAATCTTTTCTTAAATGTTTTACAAGTACCTCAAACTTATATTGAATTCATCTACCTCCTTTTTTAAAGTTTATTTATTTATTTTGAGAGAGAGAGAGAGAATCCCAATGCAGGGCTCAATTGGTCAGATTCTTCCTAAATTTACCCCTCCTCTTATGTTTTCTTAGTGAATGAAACATTATCATCAAGTCCATCAACATCATCCTAGCTAGATGTTCTGGAATTCAGTTTTCTCTCATCTTTCTCTTCCTCTTTACTCTCCCCGTTCATCCTATATACCAGATATTGAATCCAGTCTGTGTTACCTCTAAGATAACTCCATTCTCTGTCCCTCTTTTCAGTATCATTGCCAATACCAAAACTGGTTATTAGAAATAGATTAGGAAAGGCTTTCTGGAATACTAGGGAAGCTAGGAGTAGAAAGCTAATATTAGTATGGAATAGACACAGGTACAGAAGTAGTAGCTCCTGGGGAAGATTGAGAATCATATCTCAAGTTCAATGTGGCAACTTAAGCCTAACTTCAGAAAATAAGATGGGTGGTACAATGAAAGATAAAAATTACTTTAAAAAATTAAAAAAGAAAAAAAAAGAAAACTGGGTGTCTGGGTGGCTCTGTCGGTTAAGCATCCGACTTTGGCTCAGGTCATGATCTCACAGTTTGTAGGTTTGAGCCCCATGTCGGGCTCTGTGCTGACAGCTAGCTCAGAGCTTGGAGACTGTTTCAGATTCTGTATCTCCCTCTCTCTCTGACCCTCCCCTGCTCACGCTGTCTCTTTCTCTCTCTCTCTCAGAAATAAATAACACATTAAAAAAATTAAAAAAAAATTTACCCAAAGAATACAGGAGTGCTGATGCATAGGGGCACATGTACCCCAATGTTCCTAGCAGCACTCTCAACAATAGCCAAAACATGGAAAGAGCCTAAATGTCCATCAACTGATGAATGGATCAAGAAGATGTGGTTTATCTATACAATGGAATACACCATGGCAATGAGAAAGAATGAAATCTGGCCATGTGTAGCAACATGGATGGACCTTGAGGGTGTTACGCTGAGTGAAATAAGTCAGGCAGAGAAGGACAAATACCATATGTTTGCATGTATAGGAGGATTAGGAGGAACTTAATGGAGGATCATGGGGGAGGAGAAGGGGAAAAACAGTTGGGGAGAGGGAGGGAGGCAAACCATGAGAGACTCTTGAATACTGAAAACAAACTCAGGGCTGATGGGAGGGGGAGAAGGGAAGGGGAGTGATGGGCATGGAGGAGGGCGCTTGCAAGGATGAGCACTGGGGTGTTATATGGAAACTAACTTGACAATAAACTATTCGTAAAAAATTTTAAAAAATAAAATAAATAGGGGCGCCCGGGTGGCGTAGTTGGTTAAAGCGTCCGACTTTCGCTCG